GACTTATAATATTCCCTGTGTGACAACCTGTCAAGAAAATATGATTGCCTCGTTCACAAGAAAGGATGAAAGCCTTCAAGATGAACAAATTTGGCACCAAGAGAGTCAATAATACCCATGATGGGACATTATCAAAGTTGGATCATGAGGGAATCACGAGATCCAAATCAAATGGAAATTAAGAATGAACCTTACAACTTAGAATGGTGGGACATCTTGAAGGTTCACATCAGCATGAAATAATGTTGGGGCATTTTAATGTTGGAGCATACTGAAAGCTCATATTAGATAGAAATAATCCATGTAGGCCATTTTGAAGGCCCATTCCAAAAAAAAAGGGGATACAAGTAGGATATTTTGAGCGACTACATTGGTATGAAAATGTTAAAGCATTTTGAAGGCTCACATTAACAAGAAGAAAATAATTGGGGCATGCTGAGGGCCCATATCATCTAGGAATATAAGGTCTTTGATTTGAACAAATATTTCCAATAAAACAAAAAGGTATGGAGAATGAAAATGGTGAAACAAATAACAATGAAATTAACCATACATAACTGTTTTGTCCACCATATGAATACATTATCTCCACATGAGTCACAGAAAATGATGAATGTATTGTCAAATGCTTTACGAATGGTAGAAACCACAGGAAATGATGAATTTGTTGTCAAATGTTTTATGAACCAGTGATTATGGTGCTGAACCAATGTTACGATCATGTGGTTGACTTAAGATGAAATTCGTCTTCAACGCCAAAGATTTAGAAAATGAGCATTGGAATTTTAACAACAAGAAACTAGTGGAGCCAACTAAGATTGAATGATATCTTGTTAAGCATTTAGATATTTCAAACCTGATTCGAGGTCTGATTAGATGTAAAGACATGAAAGGAATTAGGATAAATCCTTCTTGTAAAGTATTTCGAGAGTTAAATAAGAACAGACGTGGTTGATATCCTGATTAATCTCTGCTAAGTTTTCCATAGTTACATCTACACTCTGCAAAGATGATAGATTCTCTTTTCAAATATGAAAGCTTTATTGAATTTCTACACAAGTTCAGGTAAAGACAACTGGTGTTATCAAGGAAAAAGTGGGGCAACAAGATCATAATTTCGAATGTAATTAGAATTCCATAAATGAAACAGTTCTTCTAAGATTTTCAGTCAAATTGAGATAAAGAAGACACAGAGATAAAAGTTGATCAGATGGTTCTTTAGAAATGCAAATTTGATAGCATAAGACAAACCTGGAAGAAAAAATTCCAAAACTTTGGAGTCAAATGAAGATTGATACATTCATGCATTCATAAGAACATCATTTGCATTTCATTAACATTTTTTGATTGCATTTGCATAAATACATTTTCACACAAAGATGCAGGAACAAAATACCTTACGAGTATAAGGTAGAATTCAGATCTCAAATGGAGGAATCATATTTGGATAGGCAAACATCTGAAAATAAATGGATGCAGTCCACAGAGGAAACATTAATTTTGGGACATGCCCAAACAACAAGTTGTTTCGAAAAAATGGGAAAGCAATTTTTCAACGTTTCTCATTCAATCTTTTCCAAAAATGAAATTTTTGAAAAGTAAGAAAGCGATTTGCAAAGCTTTTTACCCAGTAAATTATTTCTCATGATGTTTAAATCATTCGGGTCATCTGTTAGTCTTTCGAGCATGATGTTTAAATCCTTCGGATCATCTATTAGTCTTTCGAGCAAGATGATAAGTCCTTAGGGCCATCAGTCAAACCTTTCGGTAGGATGTTTACATATGATTTTTGCATGAAAATGAGAAAATGATTTTCAAAAATTCTCATTTAATGTTCTAGAAAATGAAATTATTGAAGAGTAAGAAGTTTCTTACCTAGTAAATTATTTCCCACGAATTTGTAAATCCTTCGGGTCATTTGTCAGTCTTTCGAGTATGATTTTAAATCCTTAGGGTCATCTGTCAGTCCTTTGAGAAAGATAATAAGTCCTTAGGGCCGTCTGTCAAACCTTTGGGTAGGATGTTTACGCTCTCTTTTTTGATTTCCTAGTAAAATAAAGTCAATTCCAGTCTTAACGGAAGAGTAGTGAAACGTGAACGATTTTTTTAAACTATGGAGTCAACTGGACAAAAACTTATTGTATTTTTTGTCTTTGCTTTATTCTTGTTAACACAAAAATAAGTAAAGAGGGGTAAATATCTACACTAGTTTTTGTCTGTTTATATTATTATATATATTATTATTTATATACATTATTATTATATATATTATTATTATTAATATATTATTATTAAATAATATTACAAAATACCAAATATGACCCAGAGGCCCATTTACAAATTTGGAGGCCCAATTAATTTACAACAAGGAGATCCAGACCTGGAAGCCCAACAAGCAGATCCAGGCCCATAACCGATCCAGGCCCAGATGGCCTAAAAAGCCCAGAACCCACAATTAGGGTTTCCCCATGCTTCTCTATCAGCCGCCAGCAACTATCACCGTTGGATCTGGAGAGATCCAATGGTCCATAACTTATCTAGCAGAAACCCTAGGGTATCATAACCCTAGGGTTATGATTCGTCCGCCGCCTCCAGGTGCTCCAACCGTCTGCCACGACGTCGCCGCCTCACCAGAGCTTACCAGAATGATCTAGAAGGAAAATATGGACCGCACAACACATCAACCAATGGTGAGTCACCACCGTAGGTCTGGTGACTCACCGATAGGGTTTATCATGACAGACAAGCTCTTGAAGCCTATAAAAGGCGACCATTACCTGCAAATGAAAAAAACACAGCAACAAAGAGACAAAGAGAGCAAGAATAAAAAAAACAATAAGACAGGGAGACCAAACGGGTTCGGCAGCAACCAAGAAACCAACCAACAACAAGGAGCAGTAAATAAATCGAAAGCAAAGAAAAGTGGAGGAGAAATATACCTTCGTCAGAGCCTCCATACTCCATCGGAAATCGTCGGACTTCTGTCAGACTTCGAAGGTAAAACTAAAAATCTAGGCCGTTTGAGAAACTTTTAGAACGAAGAAAAACCGGATTCGTCTTTAGGGTCGAAAGAGGGTTGTTCGAGGGTTTTTTTATGTTTTCGGCCACCGGTGGCCGATGGTGGTTCTCGGCTGACGGTTGGTGATCGACCTTCCTCCGATGGAGGATTTCTAGAGAGAAGTAGGAGCTTTCACTCTAAGAGAGAGAAGCAAAAGGGAGGAAATGGGTAGAAATGGCCTAAATGGCCGGTTTAGGGTGTATTTATACCCTACCTAAAACTACGTCGATTTGGGGAGGGGCTTCAATGTAATTAAGGAACGGTCAAATACCACGCGTGGTCCCTCTATCTTTGTAAACCTTCATTTTGATCCCGAAATCAAGTTCTTACACATTTCAATTCAGGTTTCGCATTTTAATTCTTTTTATTTTAGTCACTAATATGTTTATATATATATATATATATATATAGGTTAAATATCTATTTTAGTCCCTTAAATATTAATAAATTCTATTTTAATCATGTATTATTAATTTAGGTTAAATTACATGATTAGCACATAATTTGTATAGTATTTCAAATTAGGTTAAAATAGTTTTATTATTTTTATGTTTTAATCATTAATTATTATTATATTATTAATTTACTATTAGTATTTAGTTTTAATAATATTTCAAATTAGGTTAAGTAATTTTAATATTTTGTATACTAATCATTAATTATTACTATAGGATTAATTATAGTACTAATATTTATATATTAGGATAATTTTATAATTTAATATATATAGTTTTAATATTAAATATTATAATAGGATTAATAATATTTATATTAAATATTTAGTAATTATTTATTTTAAGTTATTTGTAATTTAAATTTAAAGAAAAAATTTATCATTTATTGCAAAGACATTAATTAATAAAAACCGGTACCAATTTTGAGCATTACGTGGGTGCTAATCCTTCCCCATACGTAACTGACTCCCGAACTTATTTTTCTGGTAAGCAGACCCGAGTTGTATTATTTTAATATTATTCTTAGGAATATTATTAGAATAATATGACATTTTGGTGACCAATCTCACCAAATTAAAATATTGGTGGCGACTCTACAACTTGGTGTTTCATCTGATTCAAGGAGGATATACACTCATTTTTTTTAGACTAGTTACACTCTTTGATGTGCACTATTTGCACTCTCCGTCGCCGGGAAGAGAAACGTCTCGACAGATTATTTTTGGGTTTGATAATTGCAACTATTAGCATAACAACATAGGAAATCCTTCAACTATATAGTGCAAAAGGCATGTATCCTCATCTAGGATGTACAAATCTATGTTGCACGGGTATAGAAATTTAATGTCGTTTTAAGTACTTAATACGTACTCGAAATGAATATGAGGCATGTATAATTTGGGTATGTACTGAGGACGTCCAATGTTGTAAGGGTACGTATATTGGATGCGTCAGAAAGATTACTAGGGATGTACTGTGGACGACATATGATCTTCACATGTGTACTCATGGTTATTTAAATAAAAAAATTGAAACCTTGAATATCAGCTGACTTATGATGAATTATCAAATGGGATTTGGATATTTTTGAGTTGAGATCAGTTTCTTACATATGACTGTGTTTCAATTACCTTTCTAAAGCATGTTGAAACCCATCAATATGATATTGAAAACGCAAAATATACTTGTTTCAACGAAAATAGTACAAACAAAAAATTAAATACGGAAAAATTAAATATGGATCTTATATGTAATTTTATAATAATTATAAATTTTAAAATTTATTTCTGTTTATAGTTTCGTATAATTGTATTTATCGTGTCGTACAATTTGGAAATTATCGCAAATTGTGATGAGAAAACGAAAACGAAATTATCACAGCTAAGATCTGTGAGATTGAAAATGATCTAAATTCGCCTTGTAAAACATCTAAGATGTGTTATTATCTATAATACAAAAAACAGCAGTAATTATCACAAAGTATTCGACTTAGAATTGCTTGGGGTGCGCCAGGCCCGAGCAATAGAGCAACGCTATAGCAAGCTACTGTGATGAGTTCTCCCCCTCAAGAAATAAATTTAATATCATGTGGGCCAATGACACCCATGTATCACATATTAAACTGATAAGAACAGATACTACACTTGATCTTAGCCAAAAGATCGGGAAAGGTACGAGTCTCTCAGTTCAACCCGGCTTCTTTTAAATGCTCATTCTTAGTCTCGTCCCTTTATATTCTAAGTATGTGGGATTAGGCAATGTATTCAGCTCCCTGGTTGAACACCTTTGATTTTACAGGCAATTCATTGGAGATAATCTCTCCTTGTATTCATCCCCCACAAACCTCTGCCTTCCATTTCTGGTTTCAGCATTTTTCTTCATGGCTAGATGATGAAGAAAATAACAGATACAAACACAAGAAAGAAATCTCTCTCTTTTATTTTAAGATTCACACTTCATTAACACATTAAATTCTATATTTAATCTTAAAATCAAACTCTTAATGTTTTATAAGATCATTGCATCAATATAAGAATTGAATTTTCCAGTATATGTGACTGCCCTCAACATCCCCTTGGTCCATGCCTATTCCTATATATATTGTTGTTGATTATATTGATCTAAAAGGAGCCCAGTTATTAAGCGTCAATTCCTTAAGTTCTTCAACTTCAAGTAAGAATATAGACCTTACCCCCCAATAAAATATTGTAACATAGAATGCTATACAATGGCCGAAGTGGGAAACCTACGTCCTACAATTGCCTGCATTGTTCAGGAAGTTCTTACAATGACCTAGGGCTGAACAATCCCCGGCACATTCCATGTAAGAGGGGATTGGTCCCCTGGATGTTCCTTTATATTCTCGTACCATACAAGCAATTCCTCATGAAGTTACCAAAGGTTCACAAATCGATTCTATTGCTGGTTTATGCAATTTCCCAAGGCAATAATTTCCATGAAACGAGGATCAATGGCAGCAAAAATTGTTAAATGTTTCATTTGTTGCACATGTCATTGCATTGGTACTTGAATTGCAGCTATTAGTACAACAACATAGGTAAATCCTTCAATTATATTGTGCAAATTAAAGGCATATATTCTCATCTTGGACATCCATCATCTGTCACATTCGGAGACAAACGGTTTCAAGACAAGACTTAATGTTTTGTTATCACCTACTGAGACAATTAGCATGTATGAGGTTTCTGGTCCTCACTCCCATGGATGAATCAAGGGGTACTAGTGTGCGATTGCATCCCTATAAATTTCAAATCCCCATGTAATTTTGATATTTTTTAAATTTTTATTGATTATTTAATTCGCACCCCAAAAATTTTGTAATTTTGCATTCCCTTCTTATATTTGTACTCCTTAACATAAAATTTTGCATCGGTTCCTCCTTGCTCTCCCACTTGGCTTCTAGTTAGGCTGATGTAGGGACTAACAAAGAAGGAAAACTAGGTCGTAATAGCTACTCTTGGTTTTGATTCTTTTGTTTGAGAGAATCTGAAAGCGCAACATGGAAGCCAAAAGTAAATAGATGGGCTCTGAAAAAACAATGTTTATCAGATCTTGGCATTTTTCCAAGCACAGTTTGTCCATGTCTCCCTATCCTGCTCGTTACCATGTGCTCAACTTGTTCATTTTGGATGAAAACAATCCACCTAAAATTCATCATTATGTCAGACGCCAGGCCTTGACAACTAGAGAGCAATGGGCAAGTTTGTAAGGGAAAGATCCATGTCATCTTGGACCCCATACCATTGGGGACCAGATGTTCTTTGATTCCTTTTTTAAAAAGAAAAATATTCCGAAATAAATGAACTTTAATTCAAAACCCACTTTGTCAATTTCTGCTACTTGGAACTTTTAACTACAATTAGATATCTTATAATCTGAAGAGAACCCCAAAATAGTTTTTATTTTTATTTTAACTACTATTAGTAGAACGACCCTAAAATCTTGTTATTAACGAATGTTGTAAACTTGTAGGAGAGATTGTGTGCAGAACGATGAACCCGCAATTTGTACCTTTCTTTTGGGGTATGTCTTACATTTATGATTATCATCCATTTCATGATGATTTACAACATAAGTTTATTAACGAAAGAGTGAGTTTCATAGGTTATTCACATAAAGATTTGGATCATGGAAGAGTGATTTTATTAACATATATGATATATGGTAGTACATTTTTTCTTTCAAAATATGTTGAATAATGGTTTTGTAAGGCAAATTATATATAATCTCCAATCTTTATGTAATTGTTAAGAGGTTTATTCTTTTAATGTTTTTAGATAAAAAAAAATTGTCTTGTGATTGATAAAAGAGAACTTAAACTTACATGTTAAACCGATAATGATAGGAGAGAATAAAAATCAATGGTGGATGCATTAAGTCCATGGGAGATAAGTGTATATTCATTATTTTAGAAAAAAAATATTAAAATTAGTTTAGTGTGTTTAAGGGAGAAGAAAAAAAAAGAAAAATTTATAAATCTATTTTTTTATAAAAATTAATATAAAAATTTTGGATTATTTTTAAATTTCTCGATTTACCACTTATAAAAAATGCCTGCTAAATAATGATGCCAATGGAGATTTAGTATTTTTCTTTTGATAATTCATCGTCATAATAAGTAATTCTTATTTGCTATACAATTATACGTTCATCAAAAACATTTTCTTGTCATGTTTTGTTTTCATCATTCAATCAAATTTATTCAAGCAAAGGGATATATACCCTTAATAGAATAATCCCTCTCTCACTAAATAAAATTAAAACTTTACAGAAACAGAGGAGAGGAGGATTCCTTCAAGTTGTTAGCCCTACTCTTTAGAAGAAGAAGACATTAATATATTTTCAGAACAGCCATTCTTCTTCTTCTTCTCCACTCAAAAATATACATGGTCACAAGAAAGGGGGGGAAAAGTAGAGAAGAAAGTGGACAAATAACAAGTCGCCAGATTTTCATCTCTCCCATGTCAATTGAAAAATCCTCCTCCATTCATTTGCCTGAAAAGGAAATAGGATGAAATAATATCAGCACCAGCGTTTGTTTGGTTCCAAATGGAAACATGCACAATTGGCTAAGCTTACCGATTGATTTTTTGCAATGCAGAACCGCCTCGTAGATGGAGCTTTCGGAATCGCACGAATTCCGCCACTCATCGGCACCGGAGTACGCGACGCTGATCCGAGGAGATGCTTCAGCTGAGTACACACATTTCTTCTTCGTCTGAATTCTCGCATCGACGCTTTCAGCTCTACTCTTCGACTTTCTTCCCCGTATTCTCCTATACAATGGCCTGAGAAAATCCAAGTATTTCGATAATATCCTTCTGGACAATCTTCGACACCGTGAGAGAGATGGACGATTTGTTTTACTGGGCGGAACAGTCGGCACTTGTGAAGAAGTAGCTATAGCCATGGCTGAAACTGAATCAGAAGCTTCAATTTCATATGCCTCGATCTTCAAAGGGCTAAGAAAAAAAGGGAGGACGTAGCCATCGGAAAAGAGCTCATCTGCATGAACGAGCGTGAGAGGAGCTTGTGAAATGGGGAAATCAAACTTGAAATCTTGAGAGCGTCTGAAAAATCTCTTGGAAGGCGGCATCCTGGGATCCATTTCGATGAAAGAAGCTTCGTCGCATGCATCAAGCGAGGCTCTTAACGAGCCCTCCAAACCATCTGAAGAAGCTGGTTTTAGGTTTACTAACCAGCTATACGAAAAGCTTTCAATGGAGAGCTGTTGGGATGCTTCCATGGCTTCCACACTTCTAAAACAGCACCGTGTAATCTCAAGTACAACATCTTTATATATATATATATATATGGATATTTGGCAAGAGACAAGGGGTTTTAATAATTAGAAAGAGAAAAAGGAGAAAGAAACATAATTGTGAGCCCCCCTAACACATAGTGTGATGTTCCATCGACCCTTTACCCCACATTTCCTTTCAAGTTAGCAGAAAAGATGACCTCTCATTGCTAATTTGTTTAATCAATAGTCACAAAAAACCCGAAAATATAAAGAATTTAGGTTCATGCACATATCCTCTTCTTTATCTCAACAAACTAAAGCAACCTCTTTTCTCATACATTCATAGGCTAGAAAATGCGAAACAACAAGCATAATTTATTCAAGGTGCTACTTCAAGTCTTCATTGTCTAAACAAGCCAAATACCTTCATACTAAAGGATTAAAGCCGTTGATGGCAATAGGTTGAGCTAATCAGCTTTCTAATTTAGGTGTAGAATTACGGTTTACGGTCTACGGTTAACGAGAGAGTGACTCGTGCTTGAGAGAGAAAGAAAAGGAATTATTATCAAGGAGAAAAAAGAGGGTTCGATTGATTATGGGCAGTCCATCCCCTTTTCCAATCTTAAGATATTAATACAGAACTTTAATGTGTGTGACAACTATAAACAATGATGGATTTAGAAATTAAAAAAATAAGAATCTAAACTTTTAATATTTATTTTTCTAACGAAATGTGTATGTAAAATTTTTTATTTTTTTCTCTTCCCCTTAGGACATTGAATTATAAACTAAATTTAATAACTTATACAAAATAATAAGGATGCACTTGGCCTACTATAGGGCTTAGTGTACCAACCCACAAGTGTAGAGTCCCGAGGATTATTTGTAGATCGACAAAATAAGTAGATATAAACTTAAATGTTCCAACACATCACAGGTACCCGACTTGTTTATCGAAAGTGTTATTTATGCCCAATAATTGATCAGAGATTTGTATTTTTAGTAATGTAGGCTAATAAATAAAAATTAATAAAAAAGAGTTTCTGAACATCGATATCCTAAATTATCACAAAACCCCAATTAAATGTAACATTATCTGGGTATTTGTTTACTTTCAACAGCATTCAAAACTTTAACACAAAACAATGAGACAACGTAAGAATTATAGAAGAAGACAAGGGACATTAATAATATTGGTATTAAAAATAGGTCATATGCAATGATGCCCATCGTCACACGTTACTGCAGTTTGGTCCTTGAATCAGTTAAGGAGATATATTAGAAATCTCATGGGGAAGAAAACCAGGGAAAGCAAATATCATTAAGTTCCATTGGTAAGGAAAATTCAGGCTTTTTCGTCCACTAATAGTCTAGTGGTGGTGAGTTTGAATCTCCTCAAAACTTGAACGTT